CATCCTCTTAGCTATTTCTCCGATGCTCTTGAAGGCATTCCAAGCCGCTCTCTTCCTCTTGTGCAACTCAGGTGCCAGGTCATTCATCATGTTGACTTCTTGACCTAGGTACACATAACTGTTGCATTCGAAGATGGTCATTCCGTTGAGAGAGAAGGGAATGTCAGGAATGAGACTGTTTCTCTTAAACATTGTCTTCATGAGATTCAGCTGTAGTCTGACCTTTCCACACTCACAGTCGAAGTCGGCCAGCATTTGTGCCACTTGGCTAAGGTTTGGTGTTATTAGAACAATGTCATCAGCAAAGCAGAGATGGTGTAGTTGCTGACTGTCTATCTTCACTCCCATTTTTTCCCATTCCAGTTTTTGCATGACGTTCTCGAGAGTGGCACTGAAGATTTTTGGTGAAATGGTATCACCCTGCCGAACCCCTCTCTTGACATTGATGATCACTTCTTTGTAGAATGGTGAGATCCTGGTAGTGAATCTGTAATACAGCTCACGGATGATCCTGATATATTGAGTTTGAATGCCCTGATTGGCTAGTGCTTTGATGACCGCTTCTGACTCAATAGAACCAAAGGCCTTCTTTAAATCAATGAACATTAGACAAAGTGGCATCTTGAACTCCCAAGAAACCTCAATGAGCTTGGTTATTGTGTGGATATGGTCGATCATGCTGAATCCGTTGTGGAACCTGCCTTGCTCGCAGGGTTGTCCTTCATCTAGTGTTCTGCCAATCCTATTCAGGATGACTCGAGTGAACAGCTTGTAGACGACAGACAACAGGCAGATCAGGCGATAGTTGCCAATGTTGTGGATGTCTCCCATCTTGTACAGTAGTACAGTCCTGCTGGTTTTCCATTGGGATGGAAACTTGCGTTCAGACAGGTAGCGTGTGAAGAGCCGAGCCAGCATATTGATGAGTACTGACGGCAGGTTCTTCAGGTGTTCAGGTCTGATCTTGTCTGGGCCAGCTGCTGTTCATTTCTTTACCAATGAAGTGGCATGTCAGATTTGGGAAGGGAGAACATTGGGAACGACATATTCATCCTGTGGAATTTGGTAGGTGGGCAGGTAGACGTGACTATCAAAGAGATCTGAGTAAGAGTCATGGATAATCTTCTCCATTGCCCTTCTGGAATATGTGATAGATCCATTAGGACATCGGAGGGCAGTTATCTTGGTCTTGTAGTTGGCGAAGGACAGGTGGGTGTTACGAATGCTTTTCCCGGCTTCTGCTGCATCTACCAGAACTTCTGCTCTTCTCTCTGTGAGATCTTCCTTGATTGCTTCTCTGCACTGCTTTGTGAGCTCGGATGTTCGCTTGTGGTTGCCTGAAGCATGCGCCAAGTCACATTGGCGAATAAGCTCAAGAGTTTTCAAAGACAGGTTTTTTTTTTTTTTGTGGCTATCTCTCTCTTGGTGTTCCTTGCACAATCATGAAGGTGCTGAACCAGTCAATCGTATTCCTCGTCAATGTTGTCAATGACAGCAGAGTCTCTTGCCCCTGTGCCTGGCTGTCCTCGCCGGGACCCCTTGGAGGGGAGCGGGTTGAGTTCTCCTCCCTGCCCCGACCAGGGCTCCGGCAGCCAAAGACCTCCAGAACCAGCCACCACCATGCTGAGACCACTCTCCGTACACATGAAGGTACCGGCAGAGGAACAAAGGTATGCGGGTCCCGGGACTGAGATCTCTCAGCCCACTCGGATTGGGGCTGAGCATCCTCCACCCAGATCCTCCAAATTCCAGTAGGCGGGGGTCACACCCACCAACTGGCCCCCAGGCACCATGTAATCCCATCAATGGCCAAGACTCAGAGACTATAAAACCCAGCTCCCGGAAATTACATCTTATTATTTCATTCTTACTTTGGACAAACTGGCAGGCTACCGAATGTGACCTGCCCACAGGGCAGAGTCTGGCAAACTCCCCGTGGTGTACCCAATATGCCAAATACCAGTAATAATGATGGATTTCATTCTCCTAAAGAGCCTTGAATATGGCACTTTCTTAAAAATCTCAGGGCTAGGATGAAGGAGACGTTATTGGGGTCTGCTCAAGGCAATCGAATAATAGGATGGTCGTGATCATGATCGTGGTCATTGTCAACGACGGAATCTTTCCATGTTGCAGCAATAGTGCCAAAGAACTCCCAGTTGGTAGTTGTTCTGGGAATTCTCTTCTTAAACTTTGCAGCCCTTTCTCCCTGCTCTGTGAAGTAGAATTTTGCATGAAGGAGACAGTGGTCTGATCCCGTTTGGAATTTTGGGACAACAGCGACATCGATCAGGCAAAACTGTCAATTGAATATGATGTGGTCAATTTCATTGTGGAACTGTCCACCGGGAGACTCCCATGTCCAACGTTTAGATTCAGCCTTCTGGAACTGTGAGTTACCATGGGTGGTCTTAGTCTACATGATGAACTCAGTCAGTCTCTCACGCTGTTCATTTCATTCTAGGCCATGGGTCCTGATGTGGAGTTTTTCGGTTGATTGTCTCAGTCCTATCTTAGCATTAAAATCACTGACAATGATATTTTCAAAGGTGTAGTCTTCTTTATACAACTTCTCCAGTTCCATGTGGAACTTCTCATTTTCTCCTACATCATAATTGGATGTTGGTGCATAGACAACGAAGATAGAAACTGCTGTGAGACACATCTATTCAAATGTAATCGTCCGATTCAGGATGTTAGGCATTCGAATGAATCAATGCTCATGGCTAAGTTCATATTGACAAGGATAGCGACACCACCAACACCTCTTTTAGTGCATGTTTTGAGGACAGTTCTTCTCCAGTGTCGAAAATGGCGTGATGAAGGGCTGGAGCAATAGCACAGCGTGTAGGGTGTTTGCCTTCCACACGGCCGACCTGGGTTCAATTCCCAGCATCCCATATGGTCCCCCAAGCACCGCCAGGAGTGATTCCTGACTGCAGAGCCAGAAGTAACACCTGAGCATCGGCTGGGTGTGACCCAAAAAGAAAAAAAAAAAGAAAATGGCGTGATGTGATTGATGCCTTCTCCTCTCAGTCAAACCAATGATGTCGTACTTGATCTTTCACACTTGTATCATCAGGTCCTCAATGGATGCATCTGATGCCAATATGTAACAGTAACAACAAGTCTCAAAATTTGTTGTGAGACATTACTGGTGCCTGCTCGAGCAAATCAATGAACAATGGGAGGACAGTGCTATTAAGGATCTACACTTGGGATAATGAGAAGAAAAACACCACTAAGCCTGGTGGTGCAAACTTCGGAATACATAGACATCATCCATATTTTTAAAATATAACAAAGATTTCAGGCAACTGTTTTATAGTTGTCTCAATGGAATGACCATCTCCAAATGCAACAGTTACGTGTATGTAGGTCAAGAAGTCAACATGATGAATGACCTGGCACCTGAGTTGCGCAAGAGGAAGAGAGTAGCTTGGAATGCCTTCAAGAGCGTTATAGAAATAGCTAAGAGGACGAAGAACCTCTGGCTCTGGGCACATCTCTTCGATCCCACTCTTCTTCCTGCATTAACATACGCCTCAGAGACCTGAGCCCTATGAAAACAGGACTAGAACACTATTTGGGTCTCCCAAAGTGGAATCAAAAGAGCTATGCTTGGAGTTTCACATTTCACTCAAATGAGAGAAAGAATCCGGAGCTTCAACCTCCATCGACGATCAAGAATCAGGGACGCTGTCTCGTTTGCCAAGCCATCAAAAATGAGATGGGCTGGACATGTAATGAGATTTGGAGATGACCGCTGGACTAGAGCTGTTACCGATTGGATTGCACGGGACGTCAAAAGACCGTGTGGCCACCCACCTATGAGATGGTCAGACTTCTTCATCAAGACCCTGAACGATCGGTTTGAGAATAAACAGATGCCATTGCGTTACACTAGCACATGACAAGGACGAATAGAGACGTTCCTGGCACCTACTCGAGCAAATCAATGATTAATGGGAAGTCAAGTGATCAAATGATCAAGTTTTATAGTTCATAAAAGTTCAGACATCAGCTACATGAAGTATTTACAGGCCTTCTATACTGACTGCCTTAAGAGTAAATCTGACAGGATCATAATTTGATTGACTAAAACATTGTGAGGGCTTGAACTTTTATTCATTTTACTTTCTTCATCTTTCTGTCTTATTTCACATAGCAAAAAGGGAATATAACTCTAAGAACTTTAAGTTCTCCTTCTCTCTAAGTCACTTCTTGTTTCCTTAGCATACAATTCTTGGTAATTCTCAACTATTTTATGCCTTCTTTCTATTTATATAAAATCTTTGAACTGAAAATGGCACTAAATTATAAAATAAAGTTTTCATCAAGATAGAAAATAAAGTTTCTAAAAGAGGGGAAGACTGGCCCAGATCTTTTTCCAAAGATCTTTGGCACAAACTTAATTTCATTTGTGACATGGGCAAAATGGCAAAATCTTAAAATTGAAGGGAACAACCCTAGAAATGTAGTCCCCTCTCCCTCCCAAATGAGACTTTCGCCTTCACATCACTCAGTGATGATGACCTGGGCACTGGTATCTCCATCCCTTATAAGAAATTTTAAGTTTAATTTAAAATAGTCCTTAGAAAATTCATTCTTTGTGTGTGTTTGCTTGTGGGGCCACAATTGGTGATTATCACAGCTTACTCCTGGCTCTGCACTCAGGGATCACTCCTGGCGGTGTTCGGGGTCAACCAAATGGGATGCTGGGGATCGAACCCGGGTCAGCTGTGTACAAGGCAAATGCCCCACCCACTGTACTATCACTCCAGCTCCAGAATGCTCATTGTTAAAAATTCAAAAGTTGCTTCCCTTCTGCACTGATTTGTTCATTCTAAACCGTGATCAAATAATTATGAAGTCATTTGTATTTCCATGAAGATGAAATGCAACTGCCCTTATCCATCTAGAGACGCTCAGACAAAGCACCACTGCTTTCCTTTGACACTCTTCTCCTTTATCCACTCCCAAGTCTCGGGGTCACTCACCTGAATCACACCTCCCAAGAAGGAAACAGCTGCAGCAACCCCAATTCTTTGCATCTCAAAGTCAGACAAGCCTAAGACACTGGTGTTACTCTGGGTGGTAGCGTTCCTGCTGCTCAGGGGAACAAGGCGTTCCACCGCATTGGCTGAGATGAGCGATGTCAAGGCAAAAGTACCTAAAAAGAGAGATGGAGAATCTTCTGTTAGGAATGGACTCAAGAGAAGTTGCTAAACTCGACCTAAAGTTGACCCCACCCCTGTTAAATAAAACATATCTTCTAGAAACACTCTTTTTTATATCCAAACTCCTCTATAATTCTCTCAGTTCATGGAATAAGCAGAAACCTACCCACATACCAACATATTCCTTCACTGGATATCCACACCCACCCGCCTGCCTCTCCCGGTCCGGTCTATCCTTCCTGAAGATCTACCTGGAGACTTCTCTGGGGACAGGGCATGGCTTGGATTTGAATATAAATTGAACATGTTGAATATAAATTAGAGCGATGTTATATATAGATGAAATTTATATAATTGAATATAAATTAATTTGAATTGATATATAGTTGAATTAAATTAATTCGAATTGATTTATAAGTTGTTACTGTGTCTGGCATATCGAATACTCTCAGTAGCTTGCTGGGCTCTCTGAGAGGGGCGGAGGAATCGAACTCGGGTCGGCCATGTTGGCTGCGTGCAAGGCAGACGCCCTACCCGCTGTAAGTGGGCATACAAATATCTACATCTCTGCACTGCACTGCACTGTCCTCTCACTGTTCATCAATTTGCTCGAGTGGGCCCAGTAACGTCTCCATTTTGAGACTTGTTGTTACTGTGTTTGGCATATCGAATACATCATGGGCGAGTTTGCCAGGCTTTGCAGTGTGGGTGAGATACTCTCGATAGCTTGCCGGACTCTCCGAGAGGGGTGGAGGAATCGAACCCGGCTCAGCCAGACTGGATGTGCGCAAGGCAAACACCCTACAACTGTGCTATCGCTCCAGCCCACTATATCTCAAATTGAGTAAATCAGAGACTGGCCTGATTCATTGCTAAGGCAGAGCTCTGTGCTTGAATATGAGAAGCTGCGCTCCTTGATTTTCCTACACAAAAATGTATATTTTGGCTCAAATCTTCTCCCACCGCCCCCCACCCCCACCCCGGCCCACAGATTTCATCTCAGATCCTCCAGGTCATGATACATCTTTTTACTCCCTATGGTCTCATAGCAAAAAAGATCTTCCTGATAGTTTAACAACATGCGGTACCCATGAAATAATCGATTTCTACCTACTATCATGAGGTAAGGTTCAATATGTTTCCCACAAATTGTCCTGTGGGACTATTTTCAGTGTTTTCCTCTTGCAGCCAAGAGTTCTAAGGCCTCTAGTTTCGGCAAAGTTCATCTAAGAACATGGGCTTTGGGCACAGGGAAACCATTGCCACAGTCTCGGGAACTTTGGGTTAAAGAAACCAAGTGCCGTATTACACCAACACTTTCCTTGACTCATTATTTAAAGACCTTTCTTTACTCCAGATCATAAGTGAGACGTGGGGTGAGAGACATTGTAGAGAAGGTAGGGTACATGCAGCCAGTCAGATGCAATCCCTGAAGTCCCAGATGATCCAAGAGTTTTCCAGAAGAGATCCCTAAGCACATCACTGGGAGTAAGTTCTGAGCAAACTGTTGTGTGTAGACCAAAACCCAAATATAAATAAATAGATAAAATTAAGTGAGACCCTGTGAAAAAGCCTTCAGCAAGATGTTGATTGTCCAAAATAAGCATGCATCATGGGTCGTGAGACTTAACATTGTCAAAATGGCAATACTACCGAAAGCACTGTATAAATTCAATGCAATCCCTATAAGGATACCCATGACATTCTTCAAAGAAATGGAGCAAATACTCCTGAAATTTATATGGAACAATAAGCCCCCACGAATAGCTAAAGCAATTCTTGGGAAAAAGAAAATGAGAGGAATCAACCTCCCTAACTTCAAACTGTACTACAAAGCAGTAATAATTAAAACAGCATGGTACTGGAACAAAGGCAGAACTGCAGACCAATGGAACAGGGTTGAATACACTGACATCTCCCCTCAATCATATGATCATCTAATCTTTGATAAAGGTGCAAGTAATGTGAAGTGGAGTAAGGAAAGCCTCTTTAATAAATTGTGTTGGCATCACTGGACGGCTACATGCAAAAAAATAGGCTCAGAACTCTGCCTAACACCATGTACAAAAGTAAGATCAAAATGGATTAAAGACCTCAACATCAGACCAGAAACCATAAGGTACATTGAAGATAAAGTTGGCAAAACCCTCCATGACATTGAAGCTAATGGTATCTTCAAAGATGCCATGCCACTGGCCGAGCAAGTGAAAACAGAGATAGATAAATGGGACTATCTTAAACTAAGAAGCTTCTGCACCTCCAAAGAAACAGTGACCAAAATACAAAGACAGTCTACAGAATGGGAAAGGATATTCACCGAATACACATCTGACAAGGGGTTGATATCCAGGATATACAAAATACTGGTTAAACTCCACAAGAAGAAAACATCCAACCCCATCCAAAAATGGGGCAATGAAATGAACAGAAACTTTCTCAAAGAAGAAATCCGAATGGCAAAAAAGCACATGAGAAAATGCTCTACATCATTAATCATCAAGGAGATGCAGATCAAAACCACAATGAGACACCATCTCACACCTCAGAGACTGGCCCACATTCAAAAGAACAAAAGCAACCGATGCTGGCGTGGATGTGGCGAGAAAGGGACACTCCTTCACTGTTGGTGGGAATGTCCACTGGTTCAGCCCTTCTGGAAAACAGTATGGACGATTCTCAAAAAATTAGAAATTGAGCTCCCATTTGACCCAGCAATACCACTCCTGGGAATATATCCCAGAGAGGCAAAAATGTACAGTCGAAGTGACATCTGCACTTGTTTGTTCATTGCAGCGCTCTTTACAATAGCCAGAAACTGGAAGAAACCTGAATGCCCAAGAACAGATGACTGGTTAAAGAAACTTTGGTACATCTACACAATGGAGTACTATGTAGCTGTTAGAAAAGATGAAGTCATGAAATTTACATACAAGTGGTACAATATGGAAAGTATCATGCTAAGCGAAATGAGTCAGAAAGAGAGGGATAGACATAGAAAGATTGCATTCATCTGGGGGATATAAAGTAACAAAGTATGAGATTAATACCCAAGAATAGCTGAGATCAGCACCAGGAGGATTACTCCATAACTTAGAGGCCAGCCGGGTATCCTAGAGGAAAGGGCAGTTCAGATAGAGAAGGGAGCACCAAATAAAGGATGTTTGGAGGATCCTCCCAGGAGGGGAGATGCATGTCGAAAGTAGACTATGGACTGAACATGTTTGCCACTCAATGCCTCTTTTGCAGACCACAACACCCAAAACGAGAGAGAGAACACAGGGGATTGCCCTGCCACAGAGACAGGGGGGATGGGGGGATGGGGGTGGGAGGGATATTATCCATGGTGGTGGAAAATGGGCACTGGTGGAGGGATGGGTATCTGTTCATTGTATAATCGAAACCCAAGCACAAAAAATTGTAAATCTACAACTGTAAAAAAAAAAATAAAATAAAGGGAAAAAATTAAAAAAAAAAATAAGCATGCAGCAGGATAAAGACCAAGGATGGGATTCAGAGCATCTTCAGGAGAAGGCCTTGTTAGAATGGATGTGGACACAGCACTAGGCCTATCTGGATAGGGGAGTTCATCCTTCCAGCAAGAATGAAGCGTTGCTGTTCCTGAGGCAGTCCAATGGAATCAAGGACATGGGGCCACGAGTTCCCACATAAGGCCATTGTGGACAACAGTCTACCTGTGTTACACAGGCCTGTAAGATGGAGAAGGCATATTGTGTGTTCCCTCCATACTCCTTGTCTACTCTTTTCCCTCACTGTCTTTTTATCCTGGGTGAGTTCAAGCATGGGTGCAGTTGGTGGCCAAGAACCATTCCCCCTGACAAGCAAGACTGACAAATGAAGGAATTGCCTTCAGGCTGGTTGGCAATCAGTGACCGTTTATTCAAGTCTCAAAGCATTAGTTATATAGAAACCATAAAGGAAAGGGTGAGGGTACACATAGGTGTAGTTGAACATTATCATAACAATAAATAGAGGCAAAGCCCCTTCTTCAGTGGAAGTTCTAGGAGATTAACTCAGGGACAAGATCTCATCTGGGTGTTCAACACTATAGATTACTAGGAGATCCACTCAAGCGTGGGATTCCTTCTAAGGGTGTATTGCTTTCTCCTCTCCTTAGCTAGTAATCCATTTAAACAATCATATTATTTAAATATGGTGGGATGGGGGGATGGGGGGTGGGAGGGATACTGGGATTAGTGGTGGTGGAGGGATGGGTACTCAATCATTGTATAACTGAAACCCAAGCGCAAACATTTGTAAGTCTCCAACTGTACCTCATGGTGTTTCACTAATAAAAATTTTTAAAAAATAAACAATCATATTAAATATATTTCTGAATGATATTTCTAGTCATTTCATATGAACACAATATGAGACATATGAAGCTTAAAGAGTGGCTCTTCCCGGGAACAAAGGAGAGGTTAAAGATAAACACAGAGGACTGGGAGTGCCTGGTGAGTGCCTCTGGAGCACTGTGATAGAAGTAGCTCAATAAACCTAAGCTCCCCGCAAGAGGAGTAAGGAGAAATCAATATCATCCAACACTTGAGTGGGTATTGAAGGATACCGGTTAGAGGGACCCTTCAATATCACTAAACTCGCCCAGTGGCACAACAGTTGAGTATGTGACTGCACCTCGTCATTAATGACTATTGGCCTCGAGGGAGGTGACTCCAGTTTAAATCCCAGGTCAGGGACCAGAACGGTAGTACAGCAGGTAGGGTGCTTGCCTTGTACATAGTAGATATGGGCTTGATCCTTGGCAACCCTTGGTTCCCTGAGCCCTACCTCGAATGATCCCTGAGCACAGAGCTAGCAGGAAGCCTAAGCACATCCAGGTAAAGATAAAACAGAAAGAAACTAATAAATCCCAGGTCAGTGGCATATTAGCTTTTGATACTAGCAAGTTAACTGATTTCTCTCAGCTTCCTTATTTGGATAATACAAATAAGGTAGCACGCTCGCACTGTCCTCCCGTTGTCATCGATTTGCTCGAGTGGGCGCAGTAACATCTCCATTGTGAGACTTGTTGTTACTGTGTTTGACATCTCGAATACTCTACGGGGAGGTTACAAATAAGGTATCTAGTTATAACCCGGAGGTTGATATGAAATGAGTTGTGTATACTTAAACAGCTATTATAAATTCTACCACACTGTAGACATTCAGTTTAAAAAAAAATACTCTTTGCTTATTTTGTTGTCTTCTAAAAAGAAGTGCCCTGTGCAGCTTTGCTGAAGTGTCCTATGAACTGATGAATGGACTCTTGCTCGCCCTGCCCTCCAATGTAGAGACTGACCCGCACGTTTGCGGGTGAGCTGCCATCAACAACTCCTTCAATCCACTGGTTTCTTATCCTTTCCCTTTTGGTTTCAAAACATGCTTTTTGCACTTCTCTTCTTTCAAAAGAAGCCATCAGTGAAATTTTCCTTTTAAAAAATACCTCTGTAGTTTAGTTAAAAATAAAATCTCACATTGTTGACAGGGTTTTTGTTTGTTTGTTTGTTTGTTTTAGTTAAGCAAGATCATATTTGTTGAATGAAACTTACATGCAAGGGGAAAGTAAGAGAGCAGGTACAGACCAAGAGAACTACATAGTGGGGGAAAAGCAAATATACATAGAGACAGGCAAAATATGTATTTGAGGGAGAAAGAACATGGGCCTGGGGCTGGAGAGATAGTGGTAGAGCACTTGCTTTGCAAGCCACTGACCTGGGTTCAATCCCTGGCACCACTTTTGGTCCCCAAAGCAAGGCTAGAAATAATTCCCAAGTACACAGCCAGGAGTAAGCCCTGAGGACTGCTGGGTGGGGCCCACACAACACAAAACAAAACAAAGAGAAGGAAGGAGGGAAAGAAGGAAGGAAGGAAGGAGGGAGGGAGGGAGGGAGGGAAGGAGGGAGGGAAGAAAGGAAGGAAGGAAGGAAGGAAGGAAGGAAGGAAGGAAGGAAGGAAGGAAGGAGAGAAAGAGAGAAAGAAAAAATATAGAGAAAAGAAATTAAGAGAAATAAAGAAAAGTAAGAGAAATGAAGGAAGGAGGAAAGAGAAAGAAAGAAAGAAAGAAAGAAAGAAAGAAAGAAAGAAAGAAAGAAAGAAAGAAAGAAAACAAGGCTTGAAATGCAATCCAGTTGTTTACTTTTAATGCTACCTTAAAATGTATCTTTTTTAGCATTAAGTATTGCTTTCAGGAACCAGAGCAATAGTACAGTGGGTAGGGCATTTGCTTTGCACGCAACCAACCCACAACATCCCATATGGTCCCCCAATCACTGCCAGGAGTAATTCCTGAGCACAGAAACAGGAGTAACCCCTCCCCCCCAAAAAAAGCAAAAATAAAAAGTATTGCTTTCACATGCTAAAAGTAGTCGATAGACCAAACATGATTGCCACTCAAAGCCTCTCTTGCAAAACACAGTACCCAAAAGAAGAGAGAGAGAACAAGGGGGAATACCCTGCCACAGAGGCAGGATGGGACGGGGGGGGGGGGGGGAGATGAGGGGGGGGATGCTGGGACCCATGGGGATGGATGACGGGCACTGGTGGAGGGATGGGCACTTGATCATTGTATAACTGAAACCCAAGCACAAAATTTGTAAGCCTATAACTGTATCTCATGGTTTTTCACTAATAAAAAAATTTAAAAAAAAAAAGTATTGCTTTCAGGCAAAATCCCAGATAAAATGGTTTTTTTTTTCTTTATAAAAGCAAGATCAATATTTTAATAATAAAGAGGAAGAAGGCATTCCCATGATATATATGGGAATGCCGACTGGCAGTCCTTTTGGAAAACAATATGGTTGTTTGAGAACAGATAATTGGGTAAAGAAATGATGGTACATCTACACACTGGAATATTACAGAGTTGTCAGGAAAAATAAAGTAATGAAATTTGCCTATAAATGGATAGACATGGAGATTATCATGCTGAGTGAAGTGAGTCAGAAGAGGAGGAACAGATATAGAGACTGCACTCATTTGTGGGATATAAAATTCAAATAGTAAAAGACTAATATCCAAGGCCAGGGAAAACAGGGGCCAGGAAGATGGGTCATTGGTGGAAAATTACCACGTGTGGGGGCGGAGGGGCAGAGGGTAGTTAGCATAGAGGAAAGTCCAATATGACAACAATAGTTGAAAATGGTCATTTTGGACAAGAACTGAGCGTTAAAAGTAGGTAAAGTGATATATATGATGACCTTTCAGTATTTGTATTATAAACCAAAATGTTCAAATATGAGAGAGAGAGGACTGCCATAGAGACATGTGGGAAGCTGGCCCTTTATCTGACCAAGGCCTAAGTGCCTGTGCTAGGTATGGTCATCTTGACCTATGACCCCGCGGCAGGCACAGCCTGTGCTATGTATGGTCGTCTTGACCTACGTGACCTGCAACAGGCAAAGCCAGTGTATGGTTATCTTGATGTATGGTTATCCTGAGAGAACATCTGTCATGGCTGTCAGTAATAACAAGAAGTAACTATCTCGGGTCTGGTATGTGATGCATATAAATTTTGTAAATCATATGGACATGGCCCTTTGTGTAATCACCTCGTGTCTGGTACCAGATACACATAAACCTTGTAATGCATGATAGGTGAAAACAAACCTTCCTAACCATATATGGGCACGACCTTTAGTGTAGCTGCCTCACTAATGGATATATACCCTGATTGCCCCCAATAAAGTCTGTCCCTTTTTCTCTCTGTTTCTGAACTGCATCCTGTCTCTTGTGTCTTGTGTTCATTCGGTCGGTCCTTCCCTGCACCTACGGATCCTAGGGCCACCTCTGCAGGCCGGAGAGTGGTTTTGGGGGCCCCCCGCAGAGACAGGCTGGGGTGAGGGGATATTGGAGGAGGAAAGAAACTGGGGATGTTTGGCTAGAAAATTACATCGGTGGAGGGATGGGTGTTGAGACATTGTTTGACTGAAACCCAATCATAAATGGCTTTGTAATTCTCTATCTCACAGTGATTCGATTTTTAATAAAAAGGAGGGGGTGGAAAGAAAGAGAGCAAGAGCACAGACAAAAACAATCCCAAGCAAATCCTTGAATTTGGACTGTCAGGGGGGGAGGGTATAGGGATCACATATGGTGGTGATGAGACAGCAAACAGCAGTGGAGAGATGCTGGCACTTGGAGATTGATTCAATATGACAGCTCAGTGTTCAAGGGGTGTGAAAAAGTACTCCTGAAACACATAAGATGGTGTCAGCCAGTACTACCTCCAATAAAAGTTAATAAATATGGAAGATGGTGGCAAAAAAATGGGAATTAGAAATATATAGGAAATGGAAATATCAGAGATAAGATTGTGCTTTAGGGGGGACTGGAGTGATAGTATAGCAACTAAGGTACCTTGCACCCAGCCAACCCAGGTTCGATCACTGACACTCTATACGGTGCTCTGAGTACTGAAACAGGCATAATCCCTGAGCATCGCTAGGTGTGGCCCCCAAACAAAAAAAAATTGTCTTCTAGAGCTTGCAGAAAGACATACAGTCCTACTGACCTTCGTTTCAACCCAGTAAGATTCAATTCAACCTTGTGACCTCCAATGCCATAAGGATAATGAAGGTTTTTGCTTTAATAAAAATGACCATTTGTTACCTTAGAAATGTGATACTAACACAATCAATGACACCACTGGTGACTGAAGAAAGACATCAAATGGCATTACTTCACTTAATTAGTATCTTGCACAAAACAAATATTTCCTGTCAAAGGTACTTTTATTGCTAATATGTTAAACATCTTGTTATTATCTTAATATTTATTATAGCATTAATATTATATTAATACTTCAGCTTAAAATATCATTTTGTAATAATAGCTACTTTTCAGTCTTATAAGCAAATATCAAATTAAACACTGTTATCAATTATCTCATCTATATTACAACCATATAAAGTTTTTATTTTGTATCTTCCTTTCATAAATGTAGTAACTAGGTTTTCAAACTTTCCCCAAGATCACAGAGAAAAGGAACAAGTTAGACATGTGCTACTATGTATCTGCCACCAAAAGTCAGGTTTTTAACCAGCTTGTTCTATTATCAGATTGTTTGCGACATTTAACATTTTACTTTAATACAGAGCTAAGCAATAAGGTCAGAGATAAACTAATTAAAAGTCATTAGTGAGTCTAACTGGGAATAAACCTAAAAACAAATGTAATTCAAATGTCAAAGACTAGAAAATATGTTTTAATATTTGATTAAGTTGTATTTTCCCACAGTATGTTTACTTTGTCTAATTTCATTACAGTGAGTCTGAACATGAGTTATTTTTCTGATCCTTTTCTAATTTAAAAGTGTAAAGAATCATGAGCAGTATTTTTTTGATTATGTAATAATGCAGCAATCAAATCATGTACATATTAAGTATGAAAAAGACAGCAGTCAAAGGAAAAAGGCAGCTCAGATAGAGAAGGGAGCGCCAAATAAAGGTGTTGGGAGGATCCTCCCAGGATGGGAGAAACATGCTGAAAGTAGACTATGGACCAAACATGATTGTCACTTATTGCCTCTTTTGCAAACCACAGGACCCAAAAGGAGAGAGAGAACAAAAGGGAATGCCCTGCCACAGAGGCAGGGTGGGATGGGGGGATGGGGGGGAGGGGAGGGATGCTGGGACCCATGGTGGTGGAGGATGAGCACTGGTGGAGGGATGGGTACACGATCATTGTATAACTGAAACACAAACACAAAAATTTGTAAGTCTACAACTGTACCTCATGGTGTTTCACTAATAAAAATTTTAAAAAAAATAAACAAAGAACAAGAAAAGGAAAAATAAATAAATAAATAAATAAATAAAACAAAAAAAAGACAGCAGTCAAACGGCATGGCATAATTTGAGGCTGTTTTCAGTAGCGAAATAAGACATGCTTTGGAAATGTAATCAGTTTTCCATGATAACTTCTGGGTCCCTCTCATTAGTAACATGGGAAACACAAACACAGAAACTCTTACCTGTAGCGACATGCCGCCCCATTCCAAATATGGAATAAATGATAGCCGGGAACAGAGAACCATATAAACCAAACACCGGGTGCACAGCCGAGAGAATAGCGAAGGACAATCCTGTGAAAAAAACCGAGAAATAAGGACCATTTGACAAGATATTGCTCACTGCAGACTGTAATGGTACAGATACAAAGAAATTTGAAGTAGGTGGTGACAAGACAATCTAAATTAGCTGACCAGGAAGCAATTTTTGCTCAGACTATAAAGCCTAGGAATCTAGTTTTAATATCAATGCTTTATTGATTAAATTTCACTATTTTAAAATTAAGTTTATTTTGAGATAAACTCAAGTTATATATAAGATTTTTTCAAGGCATACAAGACATATTTGCTAAAAGTAAAAATAATGACAGGTCTAGGGTTAGAGAGATTGTACAGTGAGTAATGAGCACGCTTGGCATGTGATGGCCAAGTTAGGTTCTCAGCAGCATACTTTGGTCCCCAGAGTAGAGCCAGGAGTGCGGTCCTTGGCACATAGGCTGAAGTAAGCCCTGAGCACTGTTGGTATGGCTCCAAAACCAAATAATGATAAAAACAAATTACAGTTCCACCAGTGGTCAGTCCCATCTTTACTTTTAAAACCTGTGCTGCACAACTGGTGACATCAAGTGATTACAGAAGGGGTAAGGACAGAGGCTGCTGCCAAATTCCACACAAGGCATACAAAGTGAGAGGCAGCAATTTAGTGGCTGGACATGGTGCTGTAAGGGACAGTTCTTAAAAGGAGGGTAGCACCTTTTGGAATTGACAGTATAAGCGACTTGGCAAAAAGTGTGTGCACTACATCGGCCATAGGGAAAGCAAGAAAGATGCTTATCGCTTTCATTTTCAGGATGACTTACCGATAAAAATGAGAGGTGGAAATACTGTACAGCAGGAAGGTGTTTATCTGCACACAGCACATCCTTGATTTATCCCTGGGACCAAGAGGGCCCCGTATTGTCCCCTGAACCCACCAGAAGTGATCCCTGAGCCCAGAGTCAGTAGTAAGACCTGAGCACAACCAGGTCTAATCTAGATACTAGATACCAAAAATTGAAGGAAAAAAAGACCCACGTTATAGATCTCAGACCTGCTAAATCATATTGAAAGGATGATGAAGATCGTGCAACATACTTTACAAAACCACATGAATACAAAATTCTGATAAATGTGACAACAGGAAGAAAAACAGGACAGAGTTCTTCAGAGGTAGAGTAATTCGGTTACTAAACACAAAGTTAGAGGCAGTCAGAGATATTGTGAGATATTTGTATGTTTGTATTTTTTACAATACTCCTCCATTCCCTAAATTATAAATAAAAAGTACAAAAATCGGTCAAAAACTAAATTCTTTGGACCTCATGTCTATGAGATTGAAAATGAGAATAATCACATAACAAATATTCCAAATATTTCAACGATCTTTATGCCTACAAATGCAAAATTATAATTCAGTGAATTCTACAAGAACCAGTTCAAAGGCAAGACACCTTGTAAATACTTCCTTTACCTCGCGTTACACTGAGACTGATCTTTCATGCCAAGCAATAGTGTCAGGGAGAATCGAAGTCTCTGTTGATGCTGCAATGAACAACAGTTGAAATAAAGGAACAACTGACTCACTCGAATGTGTTTTAAAACTTCAAGTGCTTCAAGTGCTCTTATTTATGGAGTTGTAAAACTCCACAGATAAGAACTAAAGGACTCATGTCTCTCACCATGTATCTCCAAACAAGAGAGGGACCTACCTAGATAAAGTTTTCTTTTTAAGATTTTTTACTCTGGATCATAATATAAGTCACATGTGTATTCTCAGTTATACCCATTCTCATCAGATCAAAATATATTAAATCCTCTCCCAAAAATGGTAAAAATGTTGACTACAGTCACTAACAATTTGTCAAAATATCTAAACGCTCCTCCTCATTGAATGAAAAGAATACTCAATCAACAAGTTCATAAAGGTAAAAAAAAAGGTAAAGGCCCTCCCGTTGATCGTCGATTTGCTCGAGCGGGCCCAGTAACGTCTCCATTGGAGACTTTGTTGTTACTGTGTCTGGCATATCGAATACTCTCGGTAGCTTGCCGGGCTCTCCGAGAGGGGCGGAGGAATCGAACTGGGGTCGGCCATGTTGGCCGCTTGTAAGGCGAACGCCCTACCGCTGTGCTATCGCTCCAGTAACAAGTTCACTCTGTGCTATCGCTCCAGTAACAAGTTCATAGTTACTGCTATACTGTTTTATTTTACCTAGAATGGGATCTCCCAAGCAGTGCTCAGGGTAGGGCTGACTCGCAGCTATTACCAACCCTCTGGGTCAGCCTGCTTGATGTGGGCCCACACAGTGCTTCTGGTGTTCAGTGGTTCGGGGCCTAGAGATGCTGAGGGAGTGACGAGAATCAAACTCAGAGTCTTTTACAAGTGAAAAGCCGATTGAACTGATGAGAATGGGTATATCTAATAAGAGATAAGTGTCTCTTATCTATGAGTCATCTCCATGGTCAGTTCAAGAGACTCCAAAGTAATGACCAGAGACTGGGGAACCACCTCTGTGATATTTCACCAGGCTGTGTCACCTGCGAGTTCAATGCTAGTCTGCAAGAATTCTACTACTTTAGAGGAAATACTACTGCAAAAACAGCCATTTATAATGTTTAGTCAACTTAGAAAAGAGCAAAGACAACACAACATACTAAAGCATCAAGGAATAAATATAAAATGAGTCATTAGTCAAATGTTGCTCAGGGGCACTGGGAATGAATGAGAGAAAAAGAGTGAAAGGATGAAGGAATGAAGGAAAGAAGGAGGTAGGGGGCTGTGGGGATAATCCAGGGGGTAGGGTGCCTGCCTTGCATGGGACCAACCCAAGTTCAAGCCCCAGCACTCCATATGGTCCCATCAGTAGAAAGCCCTGAGCACTGCCAGTTGCAACCCCTCCCCTATAAACAAAAAGAGAGGAGATAAAGGAGAGAGGAGAAAGAGAGAGAAGAGAGGGGAGAGAGAATAGTGAGAGGAGAAAGAGAAAGACAGAGAAATGTAGGAGAGGGATGCATGGGAAAAACTCAAACTTTGAAATATTTGTATTTTCACTCTTTTTTTTAAATACAATACGATTTTATTGTATGTTTCCTATGTACATCACTGAAAATGAACACATATGTACCACATTAAAATCACCACCGCAAGTCCAACTCTATCTCTCACCATACATTTGTCTCCTCTGTCTTTATCCAGTCTGTGGTAAAATATATTGCAACAAAAAAAGCAGGAAATATAATCCCACATTAATACAATCAGTAATTTTAGGGCTTGTGAATAACAATCAAACTTTTAGAGACCACGAGTATAGTGTAGAAAATCTGCCCCTGGCATCATTTCCAGGCTTCAGTGACACTGTATTATCTGACGCAGGCCAGACCACTGGCCAGGCAGTACCATCACAATGGGCAGGTGGGCTTCTGTCTGTATCATCTCCTATGATTGCTTTACTGCCATCACTAGAAAGTGACTCAAACACTGCTCCTGAGAGAGAACTACTTTATCACCGAAATGCAATGTTTTGTATTTTAAGATTTAGACTTCTATCAGAACATTTTCATCTGGGTTTATAGTATAGCAAATTATTCAGAACTTTAAATATAACTATAAAAAATAGCATCTAGAAATTAAATAATATCGTTGATACTGAGAATTAATGTTAAAATTGCACATATATCATTCTGATGCTTTCAAATTTTCCTGTTTGCTGAATTAATTTTTTTATGTAGCACTGTAGCACTGTCTTTCTGTTGTTCATTGATTTGTTCGAGCGGGCCCAGTAACGTCTCCATTGTGAGACTTGTTGTTGCTGTGTTTGGCATATAGAATACGTCATGGGTCGCTTGCCACAGAAAAAGAGTCAAAAACACTGTTTTTATTTGCATCGGGGGAAATATGAGAACAGCAATATTTTATAGATTGGTCCTTTGGATGTGAGCTTCAAATACTACCCAGAAAACTACAGATACCACAACTCAATGGAATAATTTCACTTCCCTCAGGAGGATAATCCTTTTCACAAAGCATTTGTGTTTTATCATGAGTTGAACTATGTCGCTCAAACATTCAAAAGTTCTTGACGTTTAATGCTTCAAAACATGATCTTATTTGGGAAAAGAAACATTGCAGACACAATTAGTGAACAGGTGAATGGAGTGGACTCCTAGTCCATTATAACTGATATCCTTATAAACCAATGCCATGTGAAGAGATAGACAAACATACAAGAAAAACACCATGTGAAGATGAAGAAGATCAAGGGTAACACTTCGACATGCTAAGGAACACCAAAGATTCCCAACAGAGTCCCAGAAGTCAGGGGACGAACATGGCAGATTCTCCCTCACAACCCAAAGAAGCAGCAAGTCTGCAGATATATTGATTTTAGTCTTCTAACATTTATGGAAAGAGCATTTCTACTATTTAATTCTCCCAGTTTGTAGTTTCTCATAATGGCAACCTGAGCTAGAATGCAGAAGACAGGTTTTGGAGAGACAGAAATCAGGGAACAGTTATACTGCACATTCTAAACAGAATCAAAACACGTACCCTTTATAAATAGTAAATACATTATAATCTTGTAACATAGCTCATACTCTAAATTTGTATAACTAGAATATTGTATCCTGAGTCATCAAAAATAGCATCTAAGCAATTTAGTTCCTAAATAATAAGTGTCTACAGATAAGTTACTGAATGTAAAAGATGGTACTTTGAAAACTGCTTAATCGAAATTCATGCAAAAAGTTAAAAGGACCAATCAATCTCTGTAACATGTGGTACCACCACTAGAAATTGTGTTTGCTAGAGTCTCAAGGCACATTATTCTAATGTATTCAGTGTCTGAAACTAAGAAAATGGGTCCTATTGAATACTAAGCAATGTGAGGAAAGGTAAATCAATTACTTTTCTCACTGGAGTCAGTCTTTGAAACCATCGCGTTCCATAAATTATAGTTTCCCCAGTCATCCAGCCTTTATGATACCACTAAAATGGTGCTAGATTATTCTTGATTCTTTGCAAATTAGAAAAAGGTACA